GCTTTTCTCAAACCGAACCATGTAACTTAGTAGGAGGTATACAATGGATATAACCTTCAGTTAATTCTAATATTCTGTGTACCTATAACACATCTGATATTCACTGCCTCATATCCTACGTATCTGGGAACCCACAGGGTTCAGTAAACAAGTGGAATGAAAGAAATGCCTGAATAGCCCTCAAATTTTTCACCTATAAAATGGGAAAACAGTAATACCACTTTTAAAGAATTGAAGAGTTGGAAAAAAGTAATCACACAACATTTTGTGACCAAGACTATATTTTTTTCCAATTGAAATAAATGGAAATAGACTTGCAAATGAAAAAAATTAAGTATAAAAGAGGGGGGAACAATATGTAAAGGACAGCTATCAAATTATTGTTTAGCCCTGGCCAGTTTGGCTCAGCGGTTAGAGCGTCAGCCTGTGGTCCAGAGAGACCGGGGTTCGGTTCCTGCTAAGGGCACTTACCTCAGTTGCAGTTTGTCCCCAACCCTGGTTGGCTGTGTGGGTGACAGCCACTCGATGTGTCCCTTTCACGTCAATGTTTCTCTCTCTCTCACTCCCACTCTATCTGAACAACAACAAATTATTGTTTAGTTGTGTAATCTTTGCTTAATCTTGCTAAAGCTCATTTATAAAGGGGATGATCGCACCTTGAAAGGCTCTTATAATCTGTCTAGTACTGTGACATTGGGCAATTTAATTCCTCTCTGTCTCAGTTTTCCTCTGCAAAATGGGAACAATAAGTATGTTTATCTTAGAGGGCTTGGGTGAGAATAACAGATAAAATTAATGTTAGAAATTAAGAAAAGCTAGCTGTGTTATCAATATATTTTAAATTTTCTACATAGTAGGAGACAAAAGCTCCAGACAGCCCTCATACGTTCTTCCTGGACTGTAGCTACTTGGTCAGTGGTTATACCCGCTCCCCTCCCCCTCCCTCCTAAAGTGGGTGCTCAGAGCTCATTTTTTTTTTTTTTTTAATCCTCACCCGAGGACATCCTTCCAACTTTTTTGTTCAGATAGAATGGGAGGGGGGGAGAGAGAGAGAGAGAGAGAGGGAAACATCGAAATGAAAGGGACACATCGAGTGGTTGCCACCCACACAACCCAACCAGGGCTGGGGACAAACTGCAACCGAGGTATATGCCCCAGTGGGAACCGAACCCGGGTCTCTCTGGACTCCAGGCCGACGCTCTAACTGCTGAGCCAAACCGGCCAGGGCTCACAGCTCATTTTTAAGCTTCCCCAACAATGTCAACAACTACTGGGTTAGACCCTCTGTCCTCCTTCAAACTTATTTATTTTTATTTAAAAAAAAAAAAAAAATCCACCCGTGCTTATGCTTGTTGTGGCCATTAATATACAAACACATTGATGTTTCTAGCTGATTTATAGTTGGGGTATTTTCTCTCTGGATTGCCTCCAATTTCTGACCATTCAACTGATGCTCAGTTAAAATGCAGAGGGATTCTTCAGATTTAGAATTTGGAAGGACACAGGAAGGCAAACTAGAGACAAGGATTACACAGCACCCTGCATGAGGATGCGTGATGAGAAAGGATGACCAACACGTTGCTCCGGGATATTCCTTAGACGGCCTGCTAGTTACTGTGACATGCTGATGCCATTTCATCACTATAGTGACAATTTAAAAATAATTTAAACCTTGGCTGTTTTTGCTCAGTGGTTAGAGCATCAGCCTGCGGTCCAGGGAGACCCGGGTTCAGTTCCTGCTGAGGGCACGTACCTCGGTTGCGGTTTGTCCCCGGCCCTGGTTGGGTCGTGCGGGTGGCAGCCACTTGATGTGTCCCTTTCACATCGATGTTTCTCTCTCTCTCCCCCACTCTATCTGAACAAAAAAATTGGAAGAGTGTCCTCGGGTGAGGATTAAAAAAATAATAATGATAAAATAAAATAAAATAAAAATAATTTAAATAGGCCTCTTGCATGGTTCCCACCATAACGTTATTTTGATGTACCTTTTGTCCATGTTAATACACTTTCCCCAAATCATTTGATGGTTTGTGTAGAATTCCACAAATAAGCCAGTGAGGCAGCAATAAGCCAGCAAAGGTTTTAAAAAACATTCCAGCCCTGTCCAGCCAGTGTGGCTCAGTGGATTGAGTATTGACCCACGGACTGAGAGGTCATGGTTTGATTTCCGGTCAGGGCACATGCCCGAGTTGCGGGCTCCATCCCCAGTGTGGGGCGTGCAGGAGGCAGCTGATTGATGTTTCTCTCTCACATTGATGTTTCTCTCTTTCCCTCTTCCTTTCTCTCAAAAAATCAACAAACTATTCTTTTAAAAAATTCCAATAAATCCCCAAATGCTTCCCTCTACTTCTGAGCATGGACTCTGCAGTGATGCCAACAAGTAAGAGAAAGAAAAGGAAAGACGCTGGTGGATCAGTATCAATAATGGAGCGAGTTTTCCAATTATTTCAGATAGAGCAGCAAAGTCTATAATCGAGCAAGTTAAGGCAGATTGAACACCCACAAGTAACCTGTGGACAAACTCACTTACGACTTGTATTTCCTTTGGAGGACAATTTTAAAGATGAGCAAGATTTTTAAGTGATTGAGATATTTACATTCAGCTCTTCCATGGCCATGTGTATATGTCTATACGAGATACATGACATGTAGGGCTATATATCCAAAGGAAGAAGTTAGATTCAAGAGTGCTTTTCATATCAATATACCAAAGAGACGTTATCAACTATGGAATTAAATATTTGCATACAACACACACACACACATATATATATATATTAGAGAGAGGGGAAGGGAGAGGGAGAGAAATATCGATGTGAGAGAGAAACACAGACTGGCTACCTCTTACACAACCCCCACTGGTGATCGAGCCTGCAACCCAGGCATGTGCCCTGATGGGGAATCCAAATGGTGACTTTTCAGTGCACGGGCCATTGCTCATCCAACTGAGCCACACCGGCCAGGGCAAGATGCGTAGAATTCTGTGCTCAGCAGATGAAGAGAGAAATATTGCTATTATTAATGATTTTTAATTTATAGCCCTGTCAAAATTATGTGAAAATATGTCTCTCTCAAGAATCATTCTAGAGAATCATTTTCTGCAAAGTGTGTGTGTGTGTGGCGGGGGGGGGGGGTGTCGGGGGCTGCTCAGACAGGTTAGCGCAAAGCGTTTTTGAAGCACTCCAATAACTGAGTTCTGTGTAAGTGGTAGGCTACCACCAGAAAGACTTCCAACAGATTTCTAGCAGCAGGGCTGGGATTAAAGATACATCTGACAGCAGGGTTCAGAGAAGGAAAATCCACTGGGAATAAAAAGGCCATCAAGGCTTAATTGTAAGAACTTCTCTGACCCTGAGAATCTTTTCTTTCCACCAATAAAAACACTTACACTCATGGTTTAATGCCCTAATTCAAGAAATGGAAGACACTAAATTAATTTTTAATTTATATCCCACTTCTGTGCCTGTTTTCATTGTCCCTCTGATGCAAACTGTGTACTGGGCAATGCAAATCATGCCTCATTTCCACCAGACAGCCCCATTAGCTGAAGAGGTGATGCTGCAGTTTCATTTTAAAGCCAACAGAGTTATAAACATGGACATTTCTCAGCTAAGCATTAAAAATAACTCTTTAAATTTCTTTGAAAGTAGCATTATTATTTTAAGTTAGAGCACAGTCACTGAAGCAAAAAAAGAAACCAAAACCAAATGAAATCTTTTACTATTTCAGTGGAAAATAAAACAAGAATTGGACTTTTATCCAGGGTTGCCACGGTCCAAAGTAAAAAGGCTTTTGTCGAACGTCGATTCTCTCTTCATTCCAGAACCCAGGCTGTGTTTCTGAGTCACCTTATTTCTGCTTCTCTTAGATCTCCAGTCCCATCCTAATTATACCTCTGTTTCAACATCTGCGGCATGAATTTAAATAGACCCCTGGTTAAATCTATACAAATGCAGTGGCCACACAGCACCCAATCTCTATAGTTTCTCTATAAAGTGGCAGAAATTCAACCTTTAATCAGTAGGACTTGATTCTGCCTAAATCTCAAATGTAGCTAACAAACTGTGGTCACTTTCGAAAGGATAAATACCCGGATATTATTTTTAAAAGTTCAACAACTGATCTCCCACCAAATATCTTACCCGATAACAGTCTATTTATATTGAGAGCCAAAGCAGAACTCCACCCAGATTCTCATTTCCTAAATATCCCTTCAGTCCATAAGAAAATCATCATTCTAGACGAAAACCCCTCATTTGCAGCCGTGGTCTTATCATAACTGGATATTCCTGCCTCTAATAAGGTCAGAAAAGTACCAGCTTTAAGTACCCACATGTCTACTCTCCATATGTTAACAGTACCTTAAAAACTTCTGAGTGACATTGATAACCTTGTTTTCTTGAAGCAAGTTTGCTTATCATTTCAACAAGTTCTGTACTTATGTTCCTGGCTCCTCTCCACTGTGTCTCACCTTCTGAAGGCTTTAAGGAGAAGCAAGGCTGCAACAACATAATCTATCACAAGGTTCAGTTCCGTCTGTGCAATAGGACAGGTTTACCTGTTACCTGGCACACAGATCTACATTATAATCCGAGAAACAGAAATTAGCCCCCAGCTTTACAAAAATGCCGTTTTTAGAAGGTATTCTTAAAAACAGAATCTTTTAAAATCCGTTTATAATCCTAAAAACCAATATACATGTAGTCTCATCATAATTTCATGTTTAAGGGGAAAAAACCCCAAACCGTATTGAAGTTCATGTCATATTGCTTCTTCAGAGTCTCTCGTATCAACATTTAACCACAAATACCCTTGGTCAGATGCTTCAGATACCAGGCTCTGTGTTTACCCCAAGATTAAAAAGACGATCATTGCATCGGCTCTACAGACCAAAGCATAGCTGGGTTAAAAAATAAATAAAACTGGATGCAAATTCAGGAAACCATCCCGAACGCAGGTGAAGAGCGCTCATCTCTGGAGGAGCTGTGTGGAAGGTCCCCTCAGTGCCAGTCCTCCCTTTTCTCTGCGATGACGCACCAGTTGCCATGGTCGTTCCCCGCGCTCAGGATCTCGAGCTCCGACACGTTCTCCCGCAGCAGCGCGCAGAGCTCGCCTTCCCGGAACACGTGGTAGTAGCGCATACAGGCCCCGGGGTCCGAGCCGCCCGGCCCTTGTCCGCCCACAGGGCTTGTGGCGTCGGGGGTGCGCTCTGCAGACAGCCTTCTCAGAGTTTCGCTCGAAGGGTTCCCTCCTGCCGAGGTCCCCGCAGCCACGCACTGGTGTCGCCCCGCACTGGAGCCGATGCGACGCAGAAAGTTCCCGTGGCCCTTTGTCCTGCTGCCTCCCCGCCGGTCTCCGTGGAGATGCTCCGCCGTGGCCGGTGCTCGCAGCCACGCCAGATGGCTCGCAGGGGTCTCCACAAACACGCCCTCATCTAAACTCTGCTCCCCGGCGGACCACGGCTGAGCTCTGTCGAAACTGGGGTACCTGGAAGGCTGGACGGAGACGGTGCCAGCGGCCCAGCCTGTGGTTTTCAGGGGTCTCCCTCTTTCAAGGTGCTTCCCCAGCGTCGACTCATCCAGAGACCTGGAGCAAAACCAGGAGCGAAAAGATTTTCCCAACGTGTTGTAGAATCCATTTTCTCCCCCGCCTTCCTTCGAGATACGCGCACAACACGCCCTGGCCCTGGCAGGGTCGCGGTCCATGCTGTGGGACCGCTTCGGGTCACGGGGCTCCTCAAAGCAGACAGGGCAGCTGCACACAGCGCAGGGGGGGCGGCAGGGACGGCCTGGGCCCGCGGGTCCGCACTGCGGCCTCCTCCCGGGCCGGCGGGGCGCGGAGAGGAGCCGGGAGCACCAGGCCCTGTTCCACGGGACCAGCACGTCTTGCTTCTCGAAGTGTCGGTTCTTCTGCTCCATAGCCCACACGTAAATCATTAGCTGGCCTCCAGGAACTAAGACTCGGGCCATTTCTTTGATCGCTCTGATTCTTCTTTGTTTTGTAGAAAAATGATGTATAACTGAAAAAAGAAGAAACTAGATTCTCAATGTGTATGTACATACATAAAGCTACACGTTTATGTATTAGTATTTTCCATGTGACAATGATGCCACTTTGACATGTGATAAAATCTCCTTATTTCCCACTAGGCTGATCATATGGTAGAAAATAGCACAGTCATGGCTTTAGGAGAGATGTAATTTTTAGCTTCAACTCCTGTAATTAGTAGACAACTGATCTTGGGAAATTGTTTAACTCATATGGATTTAAAATCTCTTCATCTATGAACACCTAGAATAAATAATGTGTAAAATCTTTTCCGGTTCCAAAATCCTATGAATTTCATTAACTAGAGGATGACCAAGATGAATTGATAAAATTTGCAAGGAAGCACTAAGTTAGGTAAGTGTTACCAGTAGAATTCTATGAAGTGATTCATTGCTTTAATGAATGACTGGTACTTCAAAGCACTGAAAGACTAATGCCACTAATCAATTTTGATAAAATTAATAAAGGAAGTAGAAGTGGAGAAAAATGTTAACGATTGTTTTTCTGTGTAGATAATGCAAGGATAGGCCAGCCAAGCTCAAGTCCAAATGACGGTTTATCCTTTTTAATAATGTTAATGGACTATAAAATGGTTGCGTATACTTTTAAAGAAGTCAACTTATAGATCATTGCTTTTACTTTCAGTCCCTGCAAAGTTAAGTGAGAGTCCAACAGGACTGTCTCTATCTAACTGTAAATGTGTTATTAGGCAACTTTTTACCAAAAATATATAGAAAGTGTTCACCTGTTAGCTCCTGGGGGAGTTTCACCACAGTACTGTGCAAAGAGAAAACATCAAATTCTTTTTTCACACATATCTCAGGTAGGGAGATTATTACATAGATATAGCTGCCAAAGGAAGATCATCCAACAGGCACACTTTGCACTGCTGTCAACCAGGGTTTCATTCCTCTGAGCAGCACACGAACCCTGTACCATGCAGAAGTGTCAGAAGACAGAGGTCCGAGGCTAAGTGAGTCTGAAGAGCAGGACACCAGTGTGTGTTGTCCTCCATCTATCAGTAATTAGTCTTGTGATCTCTGACCAGTTGCTTTATTTCACTAGACTTTATAACGTTGCCCTCAGTCCCATCCCAAGGAAAGAACCCTTTATGGGGTTAATTTGAAAACATACATTTCATCTCTTTAACTGTAAGCATTCAGAATCCACAGGGTTAGCATAGAGCAGGGTTTAGCGAATGTCAGCACTATTGACATCTGTGGCTAGATAATTCTTCGTTGTAGGGGGCCCACCCACTAGATGAGAGCAGCACCTACACACATGCTCCATGTGGCTCAGTGGTTGAGTGTCAACCCATGCACCAAGAGGTCGCCAGTTCAATTACTGGTCAGGGCACATGCCAAGGCTGTGGGTCAAATTCCCAGTTGGGGGGCGTGCAGGAGTCAGCCAATTGATGTTTTCTCTCATCGATGTTTCTGTCTCTCTCTCCCTCTCCCTTCCTCTCTCTAAAATAAATTTTTTAAAAAAGTGTTTCATTTTGTAATCTGTCAGTAAAACAGAAGGAATGTATAATTATATATGATGTTTCCCTTTCACATTATTATTTAGAGACATAGAAAAGCGAAAACATATTTCTTCATATTAAGATAAGCAAAAAGATCCTGGCCAGTTTGGCTCAGCAGCTGGAGCGTCGGCCCATTGACCAGAGAGTCCCGGGTTCAGTTCCCACTAAAGGCACGTATCTCTGTTGCAGTTTGTCCCCGGCCCCGGTTGGGGTTGTGTGGGTGGCAACCACTTGATGTCTGTCTCTCACATCAATACTTCTCTCTCTCTCTTCCTTCTTCTCTCCCTCCCACTCTATCTGAAGATAAATGCAAAAATGTCCTCAGGTGAGGATAAAAAAAAAAAGATAAGCGAAAAGTGTCAGAATACAGAATTCTAAATAGGGAAGTAAAGGTATAGTATAGGGACATAGGACAGGCGGTCTATTGAAATTTCTCATAGTTTTAAATGGGAAACCTAACTGGAAAATGACCACATCACATTAATTTATAGTTATAGTTCATAAAAGCACATGCTGTGTTTCCACTTGAGGGAATATTTTTCATTCGAAGATGACAACCAGTATGCTCCATTCTTCTGGGACAAGGCATGCAACTTCAACCGGAAGCAGAGAAGGACTTGGCCACGCACACAAGGAGCATCTCCCCAAAGGAGGGAAACTGGTCAATATCCCATGCCCATGACAGTGGCTCACAGCTGAGCCTGGACACAGGTGGCCTTGCAGACTCTAAAGCTAAAGAAGAGCAAAGCATCCTCTTCTCTGACCTCTCTCCAATTTCTAGGTCTCTATGTGGAATGACAAAACCAAAAACCTCCTTTCCACTGAAGATGCTAAGCACTGTCTAGTGTTTCTTGATTCCACAAGAATCCCTCCTCTGAATGCTGACAGTCAAATGGACTTGTTTCTGTCTCTCTTTCTTTCTTACTTTATTTTTATTGTTGACACCATTACAGATATTCCCATTTTGGACTTACCAGTTTCAACTGCAAAGAAGTAGGACTGTCACAGAACAGGTTCCCTTGGCAACCATCCCCTGCCAGGCCTAACTAGTACCGAGGTTATGGCATTCAGGCCCCAATATACAAAGATACAGTCCCCATCTAATGTTTAATAAATCCATTTCTCATCTATTTCAGGATAGAGCGAACAGTTTTATGATGTGTTTTCATCTGGTCAGTCAGTTTTATATAGGTTCTCCTTGCTTAAAAAAGCTTGTTATATTTGAACTGGTTAAAGTGTATTGGAGCAAATAATTTGCCATGAAATTCCCTTAAATAGCAAGTGTCCCAAGCATGTTTAAATATGACTAACACATTGGGTTTCAGAAATATGTGTATTAAGTAAAATAAGCCTTACCAGTATAAATTTCAGGCATAGATTTTGCTGTTTTTTGTTTGTTTTTAAATTTTTGACGTGTATTTTATGGGCACACTTGCTGGGAGGATATGAAAAACACATTCCCTAGATTTGTGAACAATCTCTGGCAGCTGGAGGACTGAGTGGCATTATAAAAACAATGCGATCTGGGCCCTGGCCGGTTTGGCTCAGCGGTTAGAGCGTCGGCCTGCGGTCCTGAGAGACCCGCGTTCGGTTCCCGCTAAGGGCGCGTACCTCGGTTGCAGTTTGTCCCCGGCCCTGGTCGGTTGTGCGGGTGGCAGCCACTCGATGTGTTCCTTTCACATCGATGTTTCCCTCTCTCTCTCTGTTCCTCTCTCTCCCTCCCACTCTACCTGAACAAAAAATGGAAAAATGTCCTCGGGTGAGGATAAAAAAAACAAAAAACAATGCGATCTGGGACCGATCCCCAGTGGGCTCTCTTCCCCAGTTACCTGCATACCAGCAAGTGGCAGATCAGATGACACATCCTTCCAGGAGGCATTAGTTGTACAATAGTCTGCTAATAAAGAGCACACTTATGGCCTCAAAAAGGTAACATGACTTCTAAAATCTACTTCACATTGGAAGATCTGGCTGCAATGCAATGTAACAGGTACTGTTTTCAATGAGTAAAAGTCCTCTAATACTTTCTTACTCATAAGTAAAAGAAACTGGAATGAGTCCTCAAAAAGAATACAATAACAGTTGGAAAGTTTAACTAGTTAAAACAATTATATGTCCCACCATAAGTACCTTTGAAATTAGTAAAATAATTCAGTCAGTTGACATATTTTAAAAACTTAGATAAAATGAATTACATAGACCTTTACACAATGAATGGATGTCGGGTTGTGAGAATGGCCTCAACCAGGTAACATTATTCCCATGGCTTAGAGTGAACGTATGACCAGGCTGCCTTACCTCCTATGGAGATGATGGCATCGAAGCCCTGATCCCTAAAGGGGAGATTAAGGTTGTCACATACCATGACTTCACATCCTCTACTCCGGGCAATCTCTACCAATGGCCCACAGTAGTCACAGCCCAGGGTATGTACCTGGCTATTCACTTTAAGATACTTTCCAGTCCCACAACCTATAAAAGAAAAACCATGTTACATGCTATCCTTAAAGGGGAGTGGAGAAATGTCAGCCCATCTTATAACAAGAACAGAAATAACTTTACATTAACTAACCAAGACAGAATACAATATGGTGTGAAGGTAAACACAAACCCCAAAGAAAAGCCTTCAGATGGCTCTTACATATTTTCACATAGAATAGAAGAGGGAAATTGGAAAAATAAATAACATTTATTAAATATTTAATGAGGTAATGTCCATGGGGTGTGGCATACTAGTATAACTGTTAGCTGACCCGTGGCAAAGAAGGATAGGTCCCTAGTACCCCAGGGACAGTGCCCAGTCCTTCACAAAAGTTACCTTCACACACATATTTCAGTATGTACAGATCTCTATGTTATCACATTTATTCTCGTGTTCTCTCTCTAGACAGTCTTACTGCTTACCGGTTACATAAAGCAAACTACTGGCAACAACGTGGATAGAAATAAAACAGACCTTTCAAAAATTTTAGATTTTAATTTGAATGAAAACAGATTTCAACATCTTTTCATCCAACCTATCGTCAATGCTCGGTTTTAAATGATCTCATGACTCATATACAACTCTAAGAAAGAACTATTCTTTTCTTAAATAGACCATTTTTGACATTCACTTTCCGGTGGCAAAGACCTGAGTAATCCAACATTTACATAGCCCAAAGACTTAGATCAATCAGATCTCACTGATATTAGCGAAGAAGACAATAATATGAATGAATCCCCATCTTGGAACAAAGCCTTCCACGGTCTAGTACCTGGTATGTTCTAGCACAGACACGGCATCCAATTCCTTTCCAGAAACATTGCAGGATAGCAACAGAGCTGATGTGTGTACCTTCTGGAACTACCTATAGATCTTTATGACTGATATTTTTCTAAAATACCTACCAGACTTAAAAGATGATTAGTTTGCTGCTTTTGAAATACGTCACACTTTTTAATAACTCCTTCTCAATAAGTGCTGTTCAAAATTATGAGATACTACAAACATAATTAAGGTTCACCAGTGCCAGCTGAGACAGTGGAGGGCTTGTGAATGAAAAATAATACTCCCAATGTTATTATTTCCACATACATGATTAGAGTCTCAGAAATATTTTAGATCTCATGGCCACTGTTCCTGAGAATGCTTATGAGAAAAAATAGCCAATATTTAAGAGCAATTGTGGGGAAAATATAATCCACAGAGTGTTTTAAAATTGAAATCCTGACTATTACAAAGATGATGGTCATATTTTTAAAAAATAATCTTTTTAAAATTGGCTCAGGGGCTACATTTAGAGAAATGAAGGGGGAAATAACTTCAAAAATACGAATAAAAACAGATTTATAGAGCTAGAAGGAAGTGTTCAGAGTATCGGGTAATAATGAGGAAACCGGGATCTTTTTACATCTCAACATCTCCTAAAAGATCTCCAGCACCCCTGACACTCCTGATTTATCCCAAATTCATTTCTAGTGGCATTCATTTTTAAGGCTAGCAGTGGAAATCCCAAATATGAAGCAGTTAACCATTTTCTAAATGTACACACTGAGACAGCAGAGAGGGGAAGAGTTTATCCTAATGAGGAAATAAGAACATTGCCAAGCCTCGTCACCCCACTATCGTAAATGGCCAGGAAATAAATCAGGTTTTTGATACTGCCGCAAGCATTGGTACACAACATTCAGGTCCTCTGGGAGATCTCATTAAATGCTAACCTTCTGTAGCACTGAGGAGAGAGAAGAGGGAGTGTCTGCTCACATTTCCCTCGGCTTTGTATTCTGCACCACATACATTTTGTGCTTTTCCGTACTTTTCGTTGGTGATTTCACTGTTTAAAATGTAGCATCGTGCTGAACTGCTGTCTGCGGTTCCTAAGGCTGAGATGGGCCTCATGGACAAAATATGTTAAATACACTTTGTCCAGGCATCAGTTACAGTTGTTGCTGTGAGTTTGCTGTTAACAAATCAACACTGTAAGGTAAATAAGGTGTCTCTAAACAGAAACACACGTGGGACAAGGTTAGGTATTGACCAGTTGACAAAATCTAATCCTGTATTTCCCCTAAGGGTTATAACCCAGGATTCACAAATTCAGTGTCCTTGGCAACTTTACAGAACATAAATACTGTGAAAAAATGAAAATCAACTGTATTTTCTTTTATGCTTTCTGACTTTTTTTGGTACCATATAAAGAAAGGCCTTTTGCCTCTGAGAGTATTTTTTATTCTTTTTATTTTATCTTTTATTATTCTTTTATTCTTTCTTATTTTAAAATAACCCAGTGGTCATCTAGTCCTCTAATGATTTCATTTTCTTATACATCCACCGGCGCTTCACTTGGAATTTGAGAAAGTAGCCTTTGTACATACTGTTGTCCTAAAGAGTTCCTTTTCCTACCGATTGATTTTAAGATCCTGGTTGCTTAGAAGATGGGTGGTCTAAAGTCACTGTAATAAACCAGGTTTATTAAAAAAATATATATATTAACATGATAGAGATATTTTAAAAAATCCTCTATTTCTACATGACCTGAGCCCCTTCCCCAAATTGCACACTGCTCGCACCATCTTTAACTACCCCAAACCCTGGGCACATGTCTGTTTCTCTTACCAGCATTTAGAATGAATGTCAAATTAGAGCATGTAAACACAGACTTATGACTCTATGGGTACAATCTTTTTTCCCCCATTTGTCTTCTGATAGAGAGAGAGAGAGAGAGAGAGAGAGAGAGAGAGAGAAACATGATGTGAAAGAGACACATCGACTGGTTGTCATACAACCCTGATCATTATTGGGGACTGAACCGCAACTGAGGTACATGCCCTTGGCCAGAATCGAACCCGCGACTCTGGTCTGCAGGCCAACACTCTAAAGGCTAAGCCAAACCGGCCAGGGCTGTGGGTGCAATCTTCATACACTTGTTAGAAAGCAGTTTTAAGTGGGCAAGGCCTCAAGTGGGAACCCCAGCATGTCCAGACCTTAGTCTTAGATCTAAGACTGTGGTTTACCACTCAATTCAGAAACACACTGAGCCAAAATCTTCCAGACCAATCAGCGATTACAAAGACATGATCTACCTAAAGACAGGCTCTACTGTTGAAACACCTACAGAACAGGTCAGGGGAAAACTCCATGAGACTAATGATAAGTTATAGGAAATCTGTAATCTCTGGACCTTCTGTGGAAGGCATGAGAGCCACTCAAGGTGAGCCACCCGAATGCTTAGGTAATGAGAATATCTCTACAGTTAAAATAGCCCATTCCACTAGCCGTCATTTCAATCCTACTTCATTCAACCAGTGTCAGATAGAGTATGATGGAGGATGTGCAGCAAAAGCTCTGGAAAGATCATCCCTGTCTAAATGTAGACTGGAGGAAGCTTTCTACTTTCTGACTTGATTGTATGAATTTCTGCTATGAAGTGAATGAGCTGAGTATCGGCATGCCAAGGGCACACTAGCAGGCGTCTGGTTGGAGCACACATAAAACTGGATCTGCAAAGGAAAGACGCGGTGGGATGGATTTCACAGAACAGGGCCCAGCTCTGGGTTACCTATGTCGGCGATGAGGCTGCCAGGCTTCTGCTCCTGGAGGAACTGCCGGACGCGAGGCCAGGCTTTGCTCTGCAGGTCGCTGAAGTAGGGGGCGGTGCTCTCATACACGTCGTGCACGTGCTGTTTCTCCAGCTGAGTGGCTTCATGATCCATCCTAGGGAAACAGGGCCACCCAAGAAAGGCGGGTCAGGGATGGCTGGAGGAGGAGGCAGATTTCCTGAAACTGGGAACTGACAACTGCCAAAGGCTGTGCTGACCTTACACTTGACTGGAAGCTGCAAATAGAAACACCTTCACTGTCATCTCACCAAAGTTGTCAAAAGACTAGGAAATTTGCATAATGTTACCTGCAAATCTTTAGGAAAAAATGGTTTGGGAATAAGCTAGTCATTGTCATTTCCTGGGCAAGATCAATCCTAAAATCATTCTGAGCTAAATAGATTTAAAAAATTTATAACGCGCAGCTCCCCACTCCATCCACGCACAAAGCCTTACTGAATCTACCTTTTTAATGCCTCTGGATTCTGTTTCTTTATATCCTACTGATTCTATTTTAGAAAAGGCACTTATTTTTTGCTGGAATTACTTCAATGGACTATAAACAGGTGTTGTTTGGCCTTTCAATCCCTTCTTCAATTCTGCCACAACTATTTTTATAATTGTGTTGCTTCCTATTTTAGACTTCTTCAAAGCCATTCCATAGCTTGTTTGATCAAGTTCAGGTATCTTAGAAGGGCATACAAGTCTCTTTCTGATCTGGCCTCAACTTGCCTCTTGCAGCCATTTCTCATGATTTGTGACACTCACTGATCCCCGGTTCCTCAGGCGCCACACATTCTCCCGCATCCGGGGGCCTGCACAGATGCTGTGTTTATCCTGGCTAACTTCTACTCATTCTTGGCACAGGCATCACCTCCTCCAGAAAGCCTTCCCTGATCTTCCCTGCAGGACAAGGGCAACCAGAAAGGAGCGGGAGAGATACAAGAGCAGGTCTTAGAGGCCTCTGCTTTTGGGGGCTTAATCTATTAATTATTCTCATGTGGCATGTGAGTGGGGAGCACCCAGGGAAGTAGCCAGGTGCTTAGATTGTGGCTCCTTACCAACCAGTATGAAAGTAAGTTCAAGCATATAAGAACCATTTGGCTCTCGTGGTGCAGATCAGCTAGTTCAGTCCTGCCCCTGGTCCTCCTGCTGCATTCCATGCATACTGTTAGCATAGGTAGCTGGGTAGTTAAGGAGCAAATGGAATCGTACATTAAGTCTGTTCACAAGGAAACCCCAGCATTCACAGGCGACCCAGGGGACAGCCTCTGCTGAGGGGACTCAATCCCCAAAGGGCAGGAAGATTTGGTTACTGGTCATTAGCCAGGATTACTGAGGGAGGAATAAAAACACCAGGGGAAATTCTTTTGTTAAGCACATGCATAGTAGAAGCGAGGCAGGCTCAGGGTAAAGTAAGTGCATGTGCAGTAGAAACAGATAACAAAGCAGAACTTTGGGACTTGCTCAGTAAGAGCCAAAATGGCGATGTAAAGGGGCAAAATTTAGCATGGAAAAGCTGGGAAAAGGACCCAATTGGATGGGGGAGGCCCCAGCAGAAGCCTGGGAAAAGCCATGAAAGAGATTGGTGAGTTTGAAAGAAAGCCTGCTCTCTTTCAAGCCCCAGGTAATATATTCAAGGTTCAAAAAAGGCCGTCTGGGTAGCATGCATTTGTTGGTTGGTTCAGGAGTGGTCTCTGTGTGGTAGGGGGGCCTGGCAGCCACGCAGGCCCAAACACAGCTGGTAGCAGCCCACATGCAGCCGTGGTGGCGGGGTGCAGACAGGGCATTAACACAGAAGCTCTGCATCTCTGGGTCCCGGTCGTCCTGGGCTTGGTGAAGACAAAGGCGAACTTGCGGCCCCAGAGACTTGACTTACTCTGTAGCAGGATAAAGCTGAGCCATTTGGTCATGGAGGAGACACCGGGCACCTGGGGACAGTTTGTTATTGCTCCAATAAATCTTACCACTATACCTCAGCCTCCTACGCGTGGGTCCCCGAAATGCTTTTCTCACGACCCCGTGGGAGAACTCTATTTCCACCAGCAATAATACCCTGAGACTATGGAAATACCCTGCCTCTCATCCTCTCACGCACTAATTTTAGCCTCCAATCCACTGATGACGCTTGCTTAAAACAATCACCACTACAAGTATCATCAAATAATAATATAGTTTTGCTTTCTGAGGTTTAAGTTACAAGTGGTCAACCACAGTCCAAAAATATTGAATGGAAAATTCCAGAAAGAAACAATTCATAAGTTTTAAATTGTGTGCTGTTGTGAATAGCATGGAGAAATCTGTTCTCATCTATGTCTTGTCCAGGACATGAATCATCCCTTTGTCCAGCATATCCACCTCACTTTATCTCATCACAAAGGCACTGTATCATCTCACATCATTACAAGAAGGGTGAGTATAGTCAATATGATATTTTGAGAGAGAGAGACCACACTCACATAACTTTTATTACAATATATCGTTTTATTTTTTATTATTTTTTTTATCCTCACTTGAGGACATTTTTGCATTTCAGAGCAGGAGGGAGAGAGAAAGGAAGAGAGAGAGAAAGAAACATTGATGTGAGAGAGACACATTGACTGGTTGCTACCCACACAACCCCAACAGGGGCCAGGGACAAACTGCAACTGAGGTACATGCCCTTAGCGGAAACCGAACCCGGGACCCTCTGGTCCGCAGGCCAACGCTCTAACCGCTGAACCAAACCAGCCAGGGCTACAATATATTGTTGTAAGTACCAAACCAGCCAGGGCTACAATATATTGTTGTAAGTGTTCTACTTTATTACAGTTTATTATAGTTATTGTTATTAACCTCTTGTGCCTAATTTATAAATTAAACTATATACATATATATATATAAACTTCTTACATGTGTAGGAAAAGTCATACTACATATAGGGTTCGGTATTATCGATGGTTCCAGGCTTCCATTTGGGGGTATGGGCGACAACTGTACTCTAATGTCATCATTCCTTCTACTTCAAGAAGAGACTTTCAGGATTTACTCTTCAAACAAATTAGCAGTAGATAATCTTAATTATCATGGACCTGCCCACAGTCCCAGCAGAAAATCTGGCAAACTCCTCACAGAGTACAAATCTCATCTGTGAGGTCTGACAAAACTTCCACCCAAATTGAAACAGCTTATATTGCACCCTCAACTAGAATTCACAAAGTAAACATATGGCTGGCTACAACTGCCTACACACAAGAGAAGCCAAAACACTGTTTTCCTTTTAAATCAAAATCTCAGCAGACTTAAAAAACCTCAGTAGGCTTAAGTCTGTTTAAATTTTCCCTTTAAGAAATCAGGCAATACAATTTCAAGAAGCCTAGAACAAATAAATTTTACTTTATTGCACTTGCAAATGTTAAGTGGCAATCAACAAAAACCCAATTCCCTTCAACCTGGCTCTAACTACAAGCTCAGAATATGTAGTATCTAAACAACACCCCTTGGAGAATCTTCTCTAAATCCTCTCCCAAATTTCCTGGCCTCTACCGTAAACAAGTAACTTCAAAGAGCTATTTTAAAAGCTGGGAACAGCCGTAGCCGGTTTGGCTCAGCGGTTAGAGTGCGACCTGCGGTCCAGAGAGACCTGGGTTCGGTTCCTGCTAAGGGCATGTACCTCGGTTTGGCTCAGTGGTTAGAGTGTCGGCCTGCGGTCCAGAGAGACCTGGGTTCGGTTCCCGCTAAGGGCATGTACCTCGGTTGCAGTTTGTCCCCGGCCCTGGTTGGGTTGTGCGGGTGGCAACCACTTGATGTGTCCCTTTCATGTCGATGTCTCTCTGTCTCTGTCTCTCTCTCTCCACCCCCCCACTCTATCTGAACAAAAAACGAAAAAAAAGATGTCCTCGGGGGGTGAGGATAAAAAATAAATAAATAAATAAATAAATAAATAAATAAATAAATAAATAAATAAAAGGTGGGAACAATATAAATCAAAACCCTTCGCCCTGGCCGGTCTGGCTCAGCGGTTAGAGCATCGGCCTGTGGTCCAGAGAGACCCGGGTTCAGTTCCCGCTAAGGGCACGTACCTCGGTTGCAGTTTGTCCCCGAGGGCCGTGTGGGTGGCAGCCACGCGATGTGTTCTTTTCACATCGATGTTTCTCTCTCTCTTCCTTCCATTCTATCTGAACAAAAAATGGAAAAAAATGTCTTCAGGTGAGGATAAAAAAACCCCTTCATGACCTAGTCCCAGTCTACCTTTCCAGCCTTATGTTCTGTAACTACCATGACCTGAATACTCGGCTCCCCTTTCCCTAAGTGGGCCTCCTGTATTGCTCCTCATTGAGGTCTTTGCTGAAGCCATAGGCTGTTCTCTCTCATCTGAAACACTTTCCTATTGCCTACCCTCTCCAAAATCTTACCTGGCCTTCAATCTTACCTGACACAGCGTCTTCCTCCTCCATGAAGACTTCATGGAAAACTATAGGTAAAAATAATCTGTCCTAATACTTTTATATCCTGTATATTTATTATCTCTGTCACTCTTAGGGCAGTTCTCTTGATACCATCTTGAACGCTACACTCTGTGGATGTTCCCAACTGGATTAGAAGCTCCAGGAGGGCAGGAACTGAGCACAGGGCATGAACCGAACACAGAGCAGTCACTCAGAAATTAACTGTAGAACCAATGACTCAATGAGCTATTTCCTTAGCATCCTCTGCAAGACAACCGTACTTAACTCCAGACAAACTGGTCCTCGAATCGTAGGTTATAAACGTAAATACCCTGCTGGGGCTGACAGTCTCTCCGAGGAAAGCAGAGCTAAGGCGAGTTTCCCAGTGTGTCTGGCATTTCATGATTTCCGGCCCTACCAGAGGCCAGTTTTAGAGACAAACCCTAGGCATGCCATAGTCACACTTTTATAACTAAAAACAATTATAAATATTATAAATTGTTCTCCTATTATAAATGCCAGAGAAGACAGTATTAAAAATGAGGGCATCTGGCCAGTTTGGCTCAGCGGTTAGAGCGTCGGCCTGCGGTCCAGAGAGACCCGGGTTCGGTTCCCGCTAAGGGCATGTACCTCGGTTGCAGTTTGTCCCCAGCCCTGGTTGGGTCGTCTGGGTGGCAACCACTCGATGTGTCCCTTTCATGTCAATGTTTCTCTCTCTCTCTCTTCCTCTCTCTCCCTCCCACTCTATCTGAACATAAAATGGAAAAATGTCCTCGGGTGAGGATAAAAAAAATAATAATAAGGGCATCAACCCATGCACCAAGAGGTCTCCAGTTTGATTCCTGGTCAGGGCACATGCCCAGGTTGTGGGCCCAATCCCCAGTGGGGGGCATGCAGGAAGCAGCCAACCAATGTTCTCTCTCATCGATGTTTCTAACTCTCCCTCTCCTTTCCTCTCTCTAACATTAATCAAGAAAACTAATTTTTTTAATAAAATGAGGGCATAAAACTCTGTTTTAAATTTTAAAGGTGTACTTAAACTATAATTTTAAAGTGAAAATACAAGTTAGGACAGTTCAAAGAATTTACTTAATCATGAAATATAGGTTTTTTTTTGTTTTTGTTTTAGCTTTTAATATGTGATTCTTCAAACTTAACATCTACAAATTGCCCGACCAGTGTGGCTCAGTGGTTGAGTGTTGACCCATGCACCAAGAGGTCACTAGTTTGATTTGGTCAGGGCACATGCCCAGGCTGTGGGCCTGATCACCAGTGGGGGCATGTGGGAGGCGGCTAATCAATGTTCTCTCTCATGGATGTTTCTCTCTCTCCCTCTCCCTTCCTCTCTCTGTCTAATACCAATAAAGAAAGCCCTGGCCGGTTTGGCTCAGCGGTTAGAGAGTCGGCCTGCGGTCCAGAGAGACCCGGGTTCGGTTCCCGCTAAGGGCATGTACCCGGTTGCAGTTTGCCCCCGGCCCTGGTTGGTTGTGCGGGTGGCAGCCACTCGATGTGTTCCTTTCACGTCGATGTTTCTCTCTCTCTCTCTCTCCCCCTCCCACTCTATCTGAACAAAAAAAAATGGAAAAATGTCCTTGGGTGAGGATAAAAAAAAAAAAAAAAAAAAAAAAAAATCTACATATTACTTTCGAGTACAAATTATACTGTAAACTTTTGTATAATAAAAAACTATCATTTAACAATACTTTTTAAGTCCTAGAAAAGCATTTTGCTCTCTAAAAAAAAATCCTAAATACTGTATATTCTTGTCTTTGTAACTTAGTCTGTACGACTATTTTCAAATTCCTTTTTTCCACCAAGTGCAATAATAAACTCCAACTTTATATCATTGCCATAAACTTAAAATTATAGGAGTTGGGACTAATTAGGTTCACTAAACATGCACAGTGCCCAAAAAACCACATATCATTGAAATTGCAGGAATAGCTGAGAGCAACTGACCTGAGTCATCTTGTGATTACAGGAAAATTACTTCTTGTCTTTGTAAATCATGGCAGTTTCCAGCCTCTGAGAGTGACAGCTGTTGCTCATGGTCTTCTCAATGAGTAAGGCACGTGCAAAATAGCAGGGTGACATCAAATAGAGAGGCCCTTCACGCGATAAGCCACTCTGCAGGTGTCTCTGCAGGGGACACGGGCCCTATTAGGAAAAAAACCAAACAGTAAATGTCATTTTACATAATAAAAATATTGAACCAGCGACAGCCCAGGTTGACCTCTGAACCTATCTGTATATTACCCAGAGAAGAAGGGATTAGAAAGGTTAATATATGGAGAACGCCAGAACCATAAGAGCAGTTTCGGAATTAATTCCTAAGCTTTCTGTAAAAGGTGCAGTACTTTTCCCCAAAATTAAATGGAATGGTTTCATCTTGTTCCTGGAAAAACTACAAGCACAGAGATTCAACTCGGAATACAGTGGCTTATTTAAATGTACTACCTATTTAAGACAATACTACTAAATTGTGCGAAATCATTCCACTACTATTCAATATTTGTTCATATCATCAGCTACTTCCATGTCACTCTGACAAGTTCTCCTGTTCTACTTGCTCACATTTATTTTTTTCACTTTTCGTAATACAGCGGGCCTGACATGAAACCCATCAAAAAGCTCTTAGTTACTGGGAAAAAAAAAAGACCTTGTATGCCAAAAAGCACTTTGTAATGCAGCAGTTTTGGGGGTACAAAATGAGGTCTGAAGAGATGCCTGGTGTGGTAGGACAAGACCATCCTGTGAAACCTCGGGCCGGATTCCTCATCTGTGCATGAGGCAGATGGACCTTAACCTGATCACGATGCGCAGTGGGTTTTTTTCTAGACTTCATATCGTTTGTGTGTGCGCCTCACTGCTACAAACTGTACCTCTTCTTACAATGATTCTCAAGATGGTGGGGTGCACGTGGCTTTCCTCAATTTCCCCTTGCCCCCACCCCACCCTAATCTGGGTCTCTATTTAAGAATCAATGACTGGGTGTGCTTTGAAAAGCTCCCTGGTCTTTGGAATATACATATTCATTTAAACTCCAGTCATCTCTGAATCATCTGCAGGTATGTGATCTGCACCATGGAAAGCCAGAAAGGTCAATTTTTAGGAAGAATATTTGAGAAGGGTCCTGAAAGAGCTGTTACTCAAAGCATCTCATCTTTCCTTATGCACTTTCCGAACTTGCTTTAATCACAGAGAAGGGGTGTTTGCTTACTGAGCCCCGTTCTCATCCAGAAACGAAAGGCTGTGTTTGCAACCCCTCTTCCACGGCCTGACCTAGGAGCTCCACCGTCACCGGCCAGCTGCCCCGACAGGCTGACAGCCGCGCTGGAGCTCGGGGACAGGAGGTGGGGGGAGTGGGCGACTCGAAGCATAGGCGACAGCATATGCAGACACGAAGCCATGAGACTGATTATAATCTGTTTGATGAACTTCGAGTAGATTAACAACAACAATAAGAGCAACACACAACACACAAACATATATTAGTTATTTACTATCAGCCAGGCCATTGTAGGCATTTAGCACATATTAAATCATTGCATCTACCAAATTACTATAGAAATAGGAACTACTGTGTCCCTTATTTTACAGATAAGAAAATAAGGCAGAGGGAACGTAAGTGTCTTTCCAAGGTAACATAGCTAGTAAGTGGGGGAGGCGAGCAGTGAACCCAGACAGTCTACACAGTCGGTGGGGAGGGAAGAAGGAGGGGAAGCCGGTGGTCCTAGGACAGCCTGAAAGAGTAGGCGGCAGTCAGACCACACAGGGCCTAGTTTAGCATTCTAAGTTTGGACTTCATTCTGAACATAATGGAGAACCATTGAATTATTCAACAAGAGAAATGACAACATTTTATTTGGGTTTTAAAAAATCTTCTCTGACGATAGTATAGACTGGTATTGCCTGGCCAGGTTCACAGTGAAGACAAAGAAAAAAACTGGCTACATACTTTATATAGGGCATGATATTAAGCATGTTAGGACAAATGCAAGAGATATTAAGGAGAAAGGATCAAATTCATAGGCATGGATGACTGATGAAGAATTAAGGCAAAGAGCACATGAAGAGGACAAGGTGATAATAATAAGGCTGATACAGTAAGATGTACCACATCCTAAAATACAGTGGTAGAATAAAAGGCAAACAGAAGGGAACTTCGGTAATGACTGTACATAAACTCTGATAAACCCTTCCTTGGAATGCATGTGAATATGTCAAATAAAGTTACTGAAGATTTATACATCTGCAGGAAATAGGGTATAGGAAGGACTAGATGTTGGTAACTGACTTCGAAATGCCATAGTACTCAGTAAACATACTTTATACAATGACATGGCTGCTTGATTCCTTATGTTCTGTAATTGATGTAAGCATATTCCAGAGGGGGGCGATGTATCTTATCACTAAGTCTTTGTTTGGTATTTCAATTTACACAGTGCTCAGTAAATGTCTACTATATGAACAGGTGAAGAAGAATTCAAAAGATGGCCCGTTAGATGGTGCTACCATTCACCACCAGAGAGGATACATCAGAGGGAAGGTTCAGGCTTGGATATGCTGTTTCTATGGTAGCTGAAGGACAACAAAGTAAGATGAATGTGAAGTTCAGTTGAACAAGTTGGACTAGAGATCATTTAAAAATCATCATTATCCTACTTGTCAGACAGGGCCATGGGATGAGATTAAGTGAAAAGAGATTGTGCAGAATAAGAAAAGAAATGAGGTTAGAAAGAACATCAAGGATCTCCAGCATTCAACCCTCGTATAATAGCGTTAGCGGAAAGGTTAGCCATGTGCCGCATTGGAGCTCTCCCATAATGAAATTTAATTCAAGAAATCTGGACTGAGCACTGACTGCAACACAGTTGCTTTGGTAGCTATGAGAGCTGGTCCCCACTCTCAAGAAGCTACAGGCTAATACCAGAGTAATGCAGAAGAATGACACGAGGAGGTAATACGCATATGACTTTTAGATAGAAAAGTAGAAATAGCTTGCAACATTAGCTTATAATTTGGATGATACTTGGACTCTGCGTATTTATTCCCTCTAAATTATGAGGCAAGTGAGACAGGGTGCTGTTCTTTTTTTTTTTATCCTCACCTGAGGACATTTTTGCATTTATCTTCCGATAGAATGGGAGGGAGAGAGGGAGGAAGAGAGAAACAGAAACATCGATGTGAGAGAAACACATTGAGTGGTTGCCACCCACACGACCCCAACCGGGGCCAGGGCCGGGGACGAACCAGAACCAAGATACGTGCCCTTAGTGGGAACTGAACCTGGGACTCTCTGGTCCGGGGACCGATGCTCTAATCGCTGAGCCAAACTGGCCAGGGCGGCAGGTGCTGTTCTAATGGATATTCCCTGTGTTACAAGGAACTCCTTCATGACGCACCGGAGAGATGCTAGGAGAGATGGTAGGAAAGGAGCACCTGGAATTCTGGATTGAAATCCTGTGAGTAGACCTCAGGGCTTCAACACAACAAAATATGTGGCACTGGATCCCCAACAGGTACCAACAGGTGACCCCGGGGGAAATATAGGTTGGAAGAAAGTGAACTAAATGAGAGTTTATCTTAAGGGAAAGGGATCAAATATTTCCCCCAAATACTTTGTCTTGAAACTTTCAAGGACTACGTGTCTAAATTGAACTCATTTAGGAATAAGATACCATCTCCAAAACCTAAATAAAGGGAATGAAGGTGATGCCATCTCAGTGGGGAACTGTGTGTGCACATATGCAAGGCAGGGGAAGGAGTGACAGGAGGGAAATACAGACAATAAAAGACCAACCTAGCTGGTGCGGCTCACTGGTTGAGCATCGACCCATGCACCAAGAGGTTGTCGGTTCGATTCCCAGTCAGAGCACATGCCCAGGTTGTGGGCCTGATCCCCAGTGGGGGGCATGCAGGAGGCGGCCAATCGATGTTCTCTCTTATTGATGTTTCTATCCATCTCTCCCTCTCCCTTCGTCTCTCTCTAAAATCAATAAAGAAAGAGAAATAGAAGACCAGAACTCGCAGCACAATATCGATGATGAGCACTGTTATCAGCGGTGGCTCCTCCACAGGAAAGGACTCAGCCCTGTTCCCTGGAACTTGATGAAACGTCATTTTGACTTTGTAGATTAGAGAAGGCCAGAAAAGAACAAGGAAATGAAATATATGAGAGTCAAGGTAAATGGAAATATAACACTGAGCATCCGTAGGAATTTGCTGTTGGTGCCAACTGGACCAAAGCAGCTCTCATTCTGTGTCAGGATAAAGGTCATGGGGTCACAGCACAGCAGCTGGGAGAAGGTGGCTCTGCTGTCGCGAAGAGCACCAGGGGGCAAGCAGAGCAGCACTGCCCCCTTCCTCTCAGGAAAGGAGGTTCAGCGGGAGGGTGACAAGGAGCACCAGTCATTTGACTGTCAAATAACTGCTCAAGAAGGAACTTCGACACGAAGACCAGGGTCGTCAACCACAAAACTATCAATTCTGTGATGCTTTTCTAAGGATGGAATTAAGGGGAGAAATGTAAGGACAGATTGTGTATTAGTGTGTTTCATAAAGTGTTTATAATACATTGACCCAAAAGAGCTGCTCGTGGGGTTATTAATAAACAAAAAATCCAGTCAAGGGCACATACCTTGGTTGTGGCTCTTGTGCGGGAGGCAACCAGTCGATGTGTCTCTCTCACACTGATGTTTCTCTCTCTCTCCCTCTCTCTTCCCCTCCCTCCCACTCTGTCTGAAAATAAATGGAAAAATATCCTCGGGTGAGGATTAAAAAAAATCAGGTTGTATATTTGTGCCTCAGGAGGACAGCCCGTGTGCATGCAAAGTACAGTAAAATCCTAACTGTCAGGTATCTTGTCCTACAGACTCCACCTGTGTTTCACTTCTCTTCTGTGTTTCCTATCATTTTCCCCACTGCCTCACCCCGAGTCTGGGCTCCCACCTCGTAGTCCAGGAGTTCCCACTCTTGTGGATTTCACAGACCACCAAAATCTCAAAGGGGCATTTGGAGAACTGCAGGGACCAGCTGATTCTTTACCTGAAGGCTAGACCACCACACACACATTTAAAACCTAGTATTTATTGTCACCATTAGTACCTAGATAAGTGGATAATTTACCCCCACAACAGCTGGGAGGCCATAATTTCAAACTTGAAAGA